TCTATAGGTCTCTGGTAGAGAATTGCGCGGGCGTGATTTTAATGCGCCGGGCGTGCATTTTTCTTTCAGAATTTGACTTTATAGTCTTCATGAAAGTTGTAGCCTTTGATGTTAGCTTTCCAATGGCGCTGGAATCACCCAAAAAGGAGTTTTAGAACTCCAGATAGGGCTGTTTTAGTGAAGAGAGGTCAAGCTGCCAGCATTGCTTATAGTTGTTGCGGTTTTTAGAGTTTTTAACAAGGTAGATGAAGGAATTAAGACTTGGTGTCTTCATGAGAGTTGTAGGAAATCTTTTTATATTTCATATGAGATAAGGATGAGTATGGTAGGAGTAGTATAACTCCTGATACACTATTTTATGTGAAGGTTGTCATTTCACAATTAGTGATTTGGTTAAGTTGAAAGCTGTTTTAGGGGCTTAGGTTGATTGGTGTTGTTTGGGTGGGTAATTTGGCATGATAGATGAGTTGTAAACAAGATGGGTGAGTTGTATTATGTGTTGAATATGTTGTATGTTGTAAAGTTGTTGATCACGCTGTTAATAATGTTTGAGTTGTTATTGCTGTTAAGCTGAGTTGTGCCATATGTTGTTTATACTGTTAATGATGTAACGCTGAGCTGTGCTATATGATGCTAATGCTAAATTTTGTTGTTGAGCCGAGCTGAGTTATATGCTGACTTAAGCTGTTGATGATGAGATGTGTTGTGAGATGTTTATGCTGCATTATGATGTTAAGCTGTATTTGATGCTGATATTGTTGTGCTGTACTGAGATGTGTGTTGTTATTAGTCACTATTGTGGTGCTGTTATAGCCGCTATGTCGGTGCTGTTATTAGCCACTATTGTGGTGCTGTTATAGCCGCTATGCCGGTGCTGTTATTAGCCACTATTGTGGTGCTGTTATAGCCGCTATGCCGGTGCTGTTATTAGCCACTATTGTGGTGCTGTTATAGCCGCTATGCCGGTGCTGTTATTAGCCACTATTGTGGTGCTGTTATAGCCGCTATGCCGGTGCTGTTATTAGCCACTATTGTGGTGCTGTTATAGCCGCTATGCCGGTGCTGTTATTAGCCACTATTGTGGTGCTGTTATAGCCGCTATGTCGGTGCTGTTATTGCTGAATGCTGTGGTATTTTAAGCTGATTTTGTAAGCTGATTGATGTGCTGATAGCTGTAGCTATTTACTATTCATATATTTATATATGTATGTTGATTCTTTTCACTAGCTTACCCTTTGTTGTTTCCATGTGGTTTGGACTGCAATGATCATACTATGTATGGGAGCAAGGCAGGGTTAGGTTGGTGTTTTGCTGAGAAAGGTCTGCAGCTGGCAGATGAAGTTTTATTCTTTTGATGTATTTAGCTACTTAGTTAGCATTTGCTGGATGTATTTTGTACACTCTAATTCTAGACGGATTTGAACCTTGTATATATATATATATATTATAGATCCTATATGTATATACTTGTTCGTTTCTGTGTAGTATTCTGGTGTGCTGTACTGTATGTGTAGTGACCAGTCGGGTCGTTACACAATATGTGTATGAACTTTTTTTTATAAAATTAAATATTAAAATGACATTAAAAACCATAAAAAAATTTAAAGATTTACTTACAAAAAAAAGTTATTTAATAATTTAATCAAAAATTTCAAAAGAAAAAATCTATTGATATATTAAATAGTTGATTTCCCAATAATATATTATAATCCTTTATGACATTTTCATTCGTTCACAATAATACAGTGTTTTAATTTTTTACAAAAATTTTAACATAATTATCATAACTCGCTTCGATATTTGACTCATATTTTATACTCATAGTTTTCTTTGTGCTCATTAAATAATCCAAGTAACCTACTCATATCCCTTGTCAAAACTTCTAACATGTTTAGGGTTTAGAGCATTTGATGCATTTTAAATTTACTTCATTACTTATTCAATTGTTTGAATTTTAAAAGACACTTACTTTTAAGTTATCAATTTTATCCTAATTTTTTTTTACTATCTTATGACTTTTATAGTTAGGGTGTCATTTATTGGTTCTCTTATCATGAGATTATCAACTTCTTTAGATTGTGATGACATTTTTTTTTATGAAAGTGAATAAGAAGGAAGTTAAAATGAATTAAAAAAAAGGAAATTAACCTACTAATCTTCTATCTTAGAGTGTGTGTAGGGGTATGACTTAAATTTTAGAGGATGATTTATAAAAAATTGAAAAAAGTTATGTTGTTTGGGAGGAGTGATTTGTGAGAATTTGAAAATAAATAAAAACGTGTCCCATAGAGAAAAAAAATTACATCCTAAAGAGAGGAGATTTGTCAAGAATTTAAGAAAAAGATAAATTTATATATATATATATATATA